GATTAACATGGCAACCCAAACAAAAATTTACTAAACCAGCCCCATAGCCTACTGGTTAAGGGAGGTGGATCTTATATGGCTGATTATGGTTCAAATCCTGGTCCTGGCGGTTTGAAAACATGCTGGGCCCATGTGCATGCATGCCCTAAATCCTGACAGGGTAGAGAAATGGAAAAGGGACTATACCATGACCATGCCCCATTGACGAGGGCTTTCTCCCTCTTTATCTTCTTGTCTCCCTCTGGTGAGTACATATGCCCTCTAACAAAAATTATTTTCAACCACTTCTCACTTAATAACCTACCTGTTGGACAACCGCTTTGCCAGTTCTTCAGCGTGAGGAATCTTTCTCAGTCTGAGTCTTGGAAATCCCTTTGCTCAGTCTGTCTTGTTCCTGCAGTTGGTTAGTCTTCACCACACGATGCATTCACAACCAAACAAGAGTACATATTTTGTTTACAAATTTGTACTTTATTGTGCACCCATGGTAGCATTCAGAGTAAGTAAGATTACACTGGATTTATATTACTGTGTTGTGGCATGTCTTGTCACTTTCTGGCACTTACCTAATGCATGTTTTGTGCATGGATGGAATTACATAATTCTAGTGTGTTGTCACATGGAATCTATTGAAATATACATACCCTATGACCCCATGACACAGAACAAGCTCCTCAGTTTTCCAACAATTTGCCTAATGACCTAGCTGTATGAACGGGAGCTGGTCATCAAGTGAGGAGCACCTGTACTTTATGAAAAGCCTTTGCATTCTGCTTATAATGTTGTCTTGCCCATGTAATGGGGATTGATTAGTCTACTTTCTTCTTTATGTGTTCTGTGAGTATGAGGCATGTTTCCTGGCAGGTTTCCATTTGGCAAACTAGCCTTTTTGGTATCTAGACTCAGATGAGCCACAGGGCAGCCCCAATCTATGAAATTTGGTGACATGGCTTTTGAAGGTTGTAGAAATAGTTTGTCTAATTCCTTGGATTACAGGATGTTATTTCTGGTAGCAAAGAGGCCTTGTCCCTAAGACATTTTCTTTTTCTTTTTTTAACTCAAGATAGCATGTGTGTATGAGAGAGAGAAGCACCATTGTTGCAGGGCTGGGTCATGCTGTGATCCCTTTCCTCTAGTCCTCTACCCTGTGGCTTCCAGCTCTGTAGTCAGGTAGGCTACTGGCTGTGTCACAGAGGCTGGGGCTCTATGACTTCTAAACTCGTGAATCTTGTTATTCCTGTGGATAGACAAAAGAAGTGAAATATAAAGTATGCTAAAATTTGGGCTTCACCCGAGAGTTTAGTGTCCATAGATATATTCCATGGCTGTCATTTAACCATTTAACAACTGAGTTATGAGAGTCTTTCTCTCTGATTCAGATGGCTGTCTAAATCGGCCCGGAGGTAAACAGCTCCCCACTGCAAAGGTTCCTTGATGGGGCTTCTGCACTCAGGTCTATGGGAATAAACTGCAGTCAGCAAAATGCATTTGTCATAAAAGTTCATTAAGACTTGAACATTGGGAATCCATGGGGCATATATACACTGAGACGTCCCAGTCCTTTGTTTTAAGGGGGCTCAGATTGGATCAAGTTTGGCACAGGGTAT